TTTCCCTCTCTCTCGCCCGTTAAAAGACCCGTGCAATTATGGCGCGGTTACACATAATCTCATGACTGAGTGCGAAACTGCCATTCTTCCTGCAAGTAAACGACTTTTCCCTAGTCCATTTTACCTGCTCACGCTAGCTGTCCTGAATGTGAACTCGCGGACACCCCGCAGGTTGCGTTGCAGCAGTTCGCGAAGGCTTCTTTCGTCTCTCTTTCGCCTTCCCGTCCTCTTTCTCTTTCTTTCTTTCTCTCTCTCTCTCTCTCTCTCGCTCTCCCACTGTTCCTTCACGATCGTATCGAAAATAAATGTTGTCACTGGCCGCGACGAGCTGTTGCTGTTGCTAGCTCCTCGCGTGCACGCGAATGTCGAAGACGGTGATAGCACGCGGCCCCGCGGCGCACACCCGGAATCCGCGGCGCGCGGCCGTTGCTACGCTCCAAAGCGGCGTACCGGGGCAACGCCGACGTCGACGGCGGGCAACGGCGGCACGGAGATGCGCACATACGTGTAACCGCAGCGTGAATACGCGCTGATACGCGCTCGCGCGACACACGCTCCCGCAGTTCGACTTCGACGCGCACCGCGCCGCGCCACACCGCGTGCGAACGTGCCACTGCCGTGGCGCACGATAGCACGCGTGCGCCTTTTGATTGGTCGCCGCGGCTGCGATCAGTCCGCGAGAAGTCGCTTCAACCGCTTGAACATAGCGATGATAAGTGCGTAACCAGCTTGCGCGTGCCGATCGACCTACTAGGGACTTTTCGACCGCGCGGATTTCCTCGTCGCGACGCATGCGCGGCGATCGACCCTTGTCGAATGTTGTGTTCCAAAATTCACTGCCAGGGCTGAAAATGTATAGGATATGTAACGTAAACTGTAGATTTTCAGCACTAGCAGAGAATTTTGGAACACAGCCGAATAGGAGTCGTAAGAAAAGAATCGTACATATGTCGTAGAGTTGTAAGAAACTGACCAATCACAGTCAAATATGAAGAGAATAGTCGATTCCCGTTAAACATGAAATCCTCAGGGAACGTTACATTTTGACTGTACAAATTTGTGATATTTCATATGTATAAATTTATAAAAGGTCCTGTAAACATTTAAAACTTACATTTTATTTGCGTTATTCTATGGAACATTGTATTTTTGTCTTAAATATGCCATTTGGAAGATCACAAAAGAAACGTTTTGTGTAAGGCCAATATTACATGCGTTCGTTTTTGTCGTACGATAGATTTTTCAAGCGTGTTAATTGACTGCGAGACAGAAAGGTTCTCGGACCTCTTTGTCTCATAGCCAATCAACAGGCTTAAAAAATTTGTCGTACGACAAAAACGGATGCATGTAATATTGGCCTAAGCTCGGATCTACAATAGGTCTTTAAGTCTTAAGCCATAAGAAATTAACAAATCATATGCCTGATTTATGCTTTAATCCTAAAATCCTAAAATTCAGCCAAATACAGATTTCAGTTAGGACCAATTAAGATTGGCAGCCCTATTGGCTGAATTTTAGGATTTTAGGGTCAAGACCGAAGCATAAGAACCACTTTTATCAACTCCGATTAATTTAATCGACCGATTAGTCCATTGGAATTGGCCAATCGCCATCTGTAGTCAAACAAAATGATAAATGCGATTGGTCAATTCTAGTAGACTAATTGGCCGATTAAGTTAATCGGAGTTGGTAAAAGTGGCCCTAAACCAAGCAATAGTCAATTAGTCTTTTCGCATTCGACTATAATTGGTCAATTTCTTACGGCTTCAGGCTTAAAACACCTATTGTAAATCCGGATTAAAACGTTTTTTGTGCAACTTATAAGAACATTGCTTCAACGCGCGCACGCGTTTCAGAAACATATACAATATTTCTGAAATATTCATTTCGCCACCTATGAATACGCAGTTACGCCACTAGATGGAAGTGGCGGTGTCGCATTTTCTCGTAATTAAAAAAATTCATCCACGAATAGAATAAAAGACACAATTATGAAATTTTTATTCTTGTTCTGATGAAATGATTCTTTGAAGGCATCAATTAAGTTTTCTTATGAATATAAAGAGGGCTCGTCTTGAAATTTAGAAAAATATTTTACAATTACAACATTATTTTGAAAAAAAAACTTTCTTTTATATTTTTCTTAAAGTAAGTTTTAAGATTACCTTAAACTTTTGTAACTTAAACTTTAGGAAAAATATAAAAGTTTTGTTTTTAAGTTTAAATTCACATTACAAAAATGTATTATAATTTGAGTTGTACATTAAACGTATATCAAGCGAATCATTTCTTGTTCCTGGAACGTTACAGAAACATTTCTGGAACTAAAGTGTACTCCTAACATCGCAGGCAAGTTTTACAAATATCGCAAAACGTTGCAAATGTGACGGCGCATATGTATAAAGATAATCGACTCAGGACACTTCTGATTCCTGGGACGTTACCAAAACATTTATACGACAAAACGAAAACATCGTATGATTATAATGCAACGTTACAAAAACTTTGTTGCAATATAATTTTGTTTAGCGGGTACGACTCCTAAGTCCTATTGCAGACCCGGCCAGATACTGTTGACTTGTCAACATTCAGCTGTTCGGCCAATTCTTTAAGCGTTTGGGAAGAATTTTTATCCAGCAAACTTTGCAATTCGGAATCTTCACATTTTTTCGAGTAACCAAGTCATTGCTTGTCATAAGGGTCGCAATCGCCACTTTTAAATCGTCGAAACCAATCTCTATACACAGTTTCGGATGGTGCAGACTCACCATAAGTCCGAGTAAGCAATCGGTGAGCTTCAGCTGCACTTTTTTTAAAATCAAAATAGTGTAGAAGCACACATCGAAAAAACAACTTATCACGGTCCATTTTTAACTTGCTCGTTCGAGACATGTCTCAACTAAATGGCGTTTCTTAGCCGGAAGTTAGTGACAAGTAGAGATCCTATAATCAGAGTTTGACGAAAGCGGGCATAACTTCTGATTGATTCTCTACCTTGGTCCACTCGGTATTCTTCTGATAGCTTCGTATATTGTCGGAAAACGAATGCGAAGAATAGAAAGAGGTAGATAGCTACAAGCAGATGAGTAAAATCTGTGTCAAAGAGGTTAAAAATCGTTCCGAAATCTCTGACAAAGAGAAAATTAACAAATTACAATTACATAATTCGGCCAATTGATCAACTTGATTGGTTTTTTCAGGTATTGTCGTCACGTATTGCCTGTCACGTATTCTAACACTTTTTGCGCATGCGTTCATACGAGAAAGCAATATCTGTTATCTCTCTCTATCCGCTATTTTTGGTCCACATTCGCCAAACCCTGATTATAGGATCTCTACCTTTAAGGTGACATAAGCGATATTTGTCCGTGCTAAAGTATAAAACACCTAGAGATATCTACAGCGAAGTGTTTCAATGCAACTACCTAATATTTCACAATGAAACACTGAAAAATATTTTAAATATTGTCTTATTCGTCGATTTTATCCGCTTATTCGACAATCTTTAGAAACTATAATATCTCGTTAACAATTGCAAAAATTGCAAAATGTTCATAAGTTTTAGGGCGGTATTCATAGTCCGTTCTTATTTCGAGATCGTCTTAGTCCGGATCTACAATAGTTTTAAGCCATAAGTCGTAAGAAATTGACCAATTACAGTCGAATCCGAAGGGAATAATCGACTGTGATTCGCCCATTTCTTATGGTTTAAAACTTAAAACCTTATTGTAGATCCGAGGTTAAATAATGTCTTAAGACGCTAATACGGCCTTCTGATTGGTTCATGACTTCTTAAGACTGTACTTAAGACGGTCTTGAATATAAAATCTAACTATGAATATCGGTCTCAGACTCAGTTTTTGATCAGGAATAGCGCTATACGGTTCATGGGAGCTTTTTAAGATACACCCTATACACAATATAAGTGTTTATATACACTATTTTGAACATTTGATACGTGAACATTCTGTGAAAATTCTTTTACTATTCGGAATATTCGGTACATTAGAAATACAAATCGAATTTATTATAAATAATTAACGTTAGCTGGGATTTTACAATAACTACAAAGTTGCTTTTTCTGCTGAACGCAGCCAATGAGCGCGTTCAAGTTGACAAAGCGGCTAGCCTGCTCGCCGAGCAAATGAACATAATTGGTTGTTACTTATAGATTCAACCAATCATATTCAATCGCTCGGTATAAGCATGCCTAGCCGGTTTATCGTCTTAAACTCGCCCAATGTTTTATTAATCTTATTATATAATGTTGATAAATCTTCTATATTTGAAAATTGAACAAAGTATGCGTAAAAATGCATTTATTCGCTCGATAATTAATCACGTTACATTTATGTAACGCGTTACGATCTCAGAGAAATAATTCAGAAGCAAAATAAGAAATCGCGTGTTAATTCGGCGAATAAGCAGTTTCTCACGATGTTAAACGTTATATATAAGATACGTAAATATCACAAGATGGTTATAATTATTGTCTTCATCATCTTTCCGTTTGCTTAGCGAACAAGTTATATTGCACACATTGCGTACACCACATGACCGATGATATATCGGCAATCGGACAACCACAAATTGCGAGTCGTATCGCACACATTACCTTACTCGATTGTTATCTCAATTTCTGGCGTTGTGCAATCAGCAAACAACACAATAGCCAAGCAGTTACATTACGCCTCCATCGTTCACCGACGTTGCATTGTTAAGCGTAGCCAATTACGTTAATTTTCCAGAATTCTAGCAGCAATATCTCATCCCAATGTTAACGCATGAATTTTAACTAGCGTGACACTTGACGTTGCACGCGCATCGATTAATTCTTTATCAGATATAATGCGCCGCATAATACATTTATTTAACCAGAGAATCAATCAAATTGCTCGAAACGCTGTGTATGCTAATAAATTAATCGAAGGGAAACATTCGGATCATTTCTTGATTTGCACGATCGATCATTCTTACATAATATATAGTTAGTGAACGTACTGTTAGTGAACGTATTGTTCTTGATACAAATATTTCAATAGAGCGAGAACCTGAAAAAATTCCGTCTCCGATCATGTGTCAATCTTAATCCGTCCTCGCCTTACGGAAATTTCTATTATGCCACCATCCATCGTGTGAAACACTTGCGAAATCGAGCGCCAATCTTGATGAAATTCTCGTCTTTAATGCTGTCGCGCAAATTGAGATAGAACATTTCGATATTTTCTCGAAAGCTGTAATTAGTGTAAAAGCAAATATAGTATTAAATGTTTATTTAAATAATTTTTTTTAAATTACATAAAATTGTCCTGCAAAACCGGCACGCCACATTCATATTTTATACTTGACATTATCTTATCATAATTACCTAGTACGTTTTCCATATGTATAAGCACTCTATTCATTTTTTATGTGCATTTTCTGTTCTTTTTACATTTTTTTCAGAAACTGTACATTGTTTTAAAACTATTCCTTTTCCATGAATATGAAAGACATAATGCGAGCCATAAGGATCTAATATCAGCCTCACAACAGAATTTGACGCTCAAAGGAT